CCGCACACCTCCATCCTCTTCACTTTCAACTTCACCCATGTAGGGTTTTTTTTTGGGGGGGTGGGGGGGGGCACAGTTGTGTTATAAGAGCAACAATATTACATTTCTATTTGCCATAACCGTCTGGGCCCCAAATTTTATTGTACATCTTAGACATTCACTAATAACATTTTCATGAAATTCACATATACTGTAGGAATTTATGGTGGGCACTCATGGCTGTAGGTGGCCGGATGGCACCACTTTTGCCTCCTGTGCCTGTGCCCACCCCCCAAGGTTTGCATACAGACACTTAGGGTTTTTGGTTAGAGTAGTGGTGGAGGGGAAACTGGCACCACGCCGGCCTCTGCCTCTTCCTCTTTCCCTTTTTAATTACTCTATAGAACAACACGCACCAACAGTACATCTGGGGGTGTGGGTGTCAGGGTCTTTATTCCCATTCCGTTCACCGACTGCAATTTGGGGAGGGGGTCCTGAAGAAGGGTGGACCGCCAGGGGCGGTCCTGGGCAGTGGGTGGGCTCGGGGCTTGGACGGTTGCCGGGGGCGGGGCTGGCTCTCCATCCTCCCTGGTGCTGCTTGGTCTCCTGATGTGTGGCTCTTGGTTCCTGTGGGTTCCCCCCCTGGCCGGGGTGGCTGCTGGGTTCCGGGGTATGGACGGCTGGGGGGGTGCACTTGGTCATTGGCGGTGTGGTGGGGTGGTCATGGGTGTGACTTCTCTGCGGCGGGGGGCTGGCCGGGCGTTCTGGTGCGGCCCGGACCGGTCCTTGGCTACCTGCCTCAGAATGATTGGGTCTACCTCCTGGGTTCGGGTCTGTGCTGCCTCCTGTAGGGGGTGGACACATGTCCTTGACCTGGGGGTATAGAGTGTGTATCGGGAGTATGAGTGGAATGTGGTGTCCTTGTATGTCTTTGAATAAGTGGGTGTGAGGATGAGGGTGGGATGGTGCAACTGTGTATGTGTTTGTTTGGGTATTTGTCAGGCTAGGGTCTGGGCCGCCCTCCCCCTTGCTGGTTTGTCTGGGGGCCCGCTGCTACTCGGCCCCCCGGTGGGGTGTGCGGCTGGCCGCCGGCGTGCTGGGGGTTCTCAGGGTCTGGAGCTGGGCACTGGGGCATGTGCCGGCCTGCCCTGGTGACTGCCTGCTGGGGCTCGGTATGTATGAATGTGGGCATGTACTGTATGTATTTATATCTTTATACAGTATATGTATGGGTATGTGTATTTATTTATGTATGCCATCCATGTATTTATCCATTTATTTTTGGGTGAGTTGGGTGTGTGACCCTGTGTTTTCTTGGTGTATATTAAATATACTTATAATCTCTATTTCAATCTTTGTAATTACTTTCCTCTTTGTTTTTCCCATCTTTTTCTATTTTGTCTTTACTTAAAAAAAAATCACTGATGATGAAGAAATTAAGAAACTTATATTAGGTTTTTTTTTCTACTGAAGTGATTTTAAAAAAAAGGAAGTTATCTTGCTGTGGTGGCCCCTAGAAGAGATCAGCTGAAAAAAAATACTCTAATAATTTAGGGTACAGGTTTATGCTTTAATATGAAGTCTACATGATTCAGTTTAAATTTTATCAGTGAGAGACAAAAAAAGGTAAAGATTTGCATCTTTGCTTTATATATATATA